CCCACCCGCCTGCCTCTCCCCTCCAGGTCCAGTTAAGGGTAGTCCATATCTAATCTGGAAGATAAGTGCGAGTCGACGAGGGGGGTCTTGCGCTTGCTGCTGAAGCCGCCTCGGAGCTCGGGCTCTCGGGTGGGATGATAGGGAGCAAAGGCGGAGTCCGCGCGGCGCTCTGTTTTCCGAGCTCGCGGTGCTGCTGCTGATGCTGCCGCTGTCAGGGAGACCGACAATCAATGGGACCGCAGCCCTCGAGCGCGCGCACGCCTCCTCGAGACGGCCGCGCTGCGCGCACTCTCATTTGAGAATGGGGGCTCGCCGCACGCGCGCACAGCATCCCATTCTCGCTCTCCAATCACAGCGCGCTGATGACGCGCAGATTCACCGAGCCTGACTCGCGGATTAGATTCAAATTCAGCACGCAACAGATGAGTGGCTAAAATATAGCCTATAATAATGCACACATAGAAACACAGACTTGCTGTAAATGACTAACTTCACGTAGAAATGTGACCCTGCACCACAAAACCAGTCATAAGGGTCAATTTTTTGAAATTGAGATTTATACATCATATGAAAGCTAAATAAACAAGCTTCCCATTGATGTAGCCCATGGTTTGTTAGGAGAGGACGATATTTGGCTGAGATAGCCTACAACTATTTGAAAATCTGAAATCTGAGGGTGCAAAAAAAATCTAAATATTGAAAAAATCGCCTTTAAAGTTGTCCAAATGAAGTTCTTAGCAATGCATATTACTAATCAAAAATTAAGTTTTGATACATTTACGGTAGGAAATTGACTAAATATCTTCATGGAACATGATCTTTACTTAATATCCTGATTTTTGGCATAAAAGAAAAATCTATCATTTTGACCCACAATGCATTGTTGGCTATTGCTACAAATATACCCGAGCTACTTATGACTGGTTTTGTGGTCCAGGGTCACAAAATGGGACAACTGGTTGAGGGGGAAACTTAAGCTTAATCATCTTTATCATTATTTCTTATCTTTAAAACAACCTTTAATTTCATACATGTGCACAAACAGGTGTAAATGAAAAATGACAATACCTTCTGAGGCAAAGCATGTTAAAAGAGTGAAATGTGAGGGTAATTTGCAATTGTGATTTTATATGGGATAATAATTAATCTAATTTTCTTATAGACATATCCTTTTCATGGAATGTCCCAATTTGCCAAAAGTGCCTCTCTGCCATTTAAATCTTTAGCCTAACGGAAAGGAACACATTTTGTACAATCATAAAACTAGTTAATAGCCATGTAAAATATGACGGTTGCAATTAGTTACCACAATTAAAAATTTTGAATAGGCTAACTTTTCTGAATTAAACTTGAGATAACACAAATATTCAAGTTTTCAGTTAATAACTAACATTAGGCCTACATTTCAACTTAAATTATTAAGGCAGCACTTCATTTTTGAAGTTGAAACAACACTTTTACAGTGTGTCCAGCTTTGAAAATAGATAGGCCTACTGTAGGCCTATGACATGTGAACATATTTTTGAACAACTTAATATAAACTTATAGCATAAGTAGGCTATATACGTAATGCAGTAATTAAATCATTAATTTTTTTTTTGATTAATGTAGGCTAGGCTACTAAAATAAATTTTAAAAATAAATAAATAAAAACAATAATAATACATTTTATTTGATGGCGCCTTTCAAAACACCCAAGGACACCTTACAAAACAAAACAGAAGAAACATATCAGTCTGTATTAAAGCGAGAAATGCATTTAATCGGTGTTCTTGTATGCCATATGGGATGATTTTAATCCTAGCTTTTATCTCAGACATTAAACGTTTGCATCATGTTGATTGCAATATAAGGTCGGTGTTTTGCATGGTGTAGGCCTACTTTATTTTTTCCTGTCCCGTTTGCATGTCCAGTTTCTAAGCACTGGTGCAATGATTGAAGAGCGGACTTTTATTTTGGTGTTTTCTCCGTGGCTGTGATGACGTGTGTACAGTCATATTATTTGTTGTCCCTGTTACAGCATCTACAGATTCCTTCGCTTTTAATGCACTTCTGCTATCTAGTGATGGGAAACCGAGGCTTTCTGAACCGTTTGAGGCTTTCATCAAATTGTGCCGAAAAACGGTTCATTACTCGAAGCTTTTTAACAGTGCGCATTAGCGACATCTGCTGGTCAGACTCGGTTTCTCCAGCCTATCTAACGAAACATCGCGGAGCAGAGGATGGTTTGAAAAAGTTTTTAATCTGTGCCAACTCGTGTCATGCGTTGTCCGGTCAATGGATTCACATATTGATCAATAATATAAAATATACAAGTGTGTGATTAATAATTGACGTGAGTAGTAGCAAAAATATTTTGAGTGAGCTGTTTGGGGTCTCCAAGACCCAAGCTAGAACATGTTAAAATGCAATAGAGGTGTGCGTCCCCTATGAACAGCATATGTGAATATTATGTAGACCTATTGTTTAAATCGAATTTATGCTTTAAAAGTAGAGTAATCATAGCAGTTTTCATCCATAGTATGTCCATTTAAACGTCTGCGTTTAGCTTCAAATGGCGTCTTTGACAACAGTATTCTATAAAAATTATTTGCATTCCGATCTTGACATCAAAAGGCACAAAAATATATTTTTTTCTTTTATTCCATGGATTTTACCTATTTACCTCCACTTGTTCCCAGTGTTTTTCTGCAACCACTATGCGCGTAGCTGCAAGTGACGTAACTGTAACGTCTACTCTAAATTGGTCTATCCACCCTTTTCCTACGCCCCATGATGCTTTGCGCGAATTATGGGTGGAACTTCCGTTGCGACGTAAACAATCATTCGCTGCAGTCAGTGTCGCTACTCATTCATAGCAAGATGTGGAATCACACGCTGACAGAACTTATTATAAAGGACAACATCAACATACCCGTCCCTTCCTTAATGGAGGAATGGGAGGACGATATAAAAAAGTGGCCGCGCATAACGTACAGTAGCATTTTTAACTACTTTGTTGATTCAATTGCTTGTGACGGTAAGGCAATGAGCAATTTGAAAAGCTCAGAGGCTTACCAATACCTTCACAGTAATAAAGTAGGTCGTGTGCTATTCAAAGATGTGGGCAATGATTTCGTGTACTTAAAAGCTGATGTAGAGCCGAGTCAAAGCCTGAATGTGTCACACCATAAAGCTTGGGTTTTAGTGTCTACGTCAGGTGTCATACAGACGGCAGGGTGCTCATGTATCGCAGGTCCAGGGCGCTCATGTCACGCAGCTGCAGTAATGTGGAAAGTCAGTAAATACATGTAAAAAAATAAATAAATAAAATAACCTCTCAAATAACCTGTGTTTAACGACAATGTACTAATATTTAAATGTATCATTTGATACAATGCACTGTGCAAATACGTTTTTACTCTGTAAAAACTAAAATTATCATCAAAATTATAAAACATTTAAAATTACACTGCTAACCATACCCCTTAAACCTACCCATACCATGGAACCTGTGCCAGCCTTACCCAAATCACACCTCAGTGGCATCAAATGTAAAAAAAATTAAAAGGTATTTTTACAGCAGCGCCCCCAGGAAAAAGGTGGATAGTGCTTTGAAAACTGCGTCGGATCATCGGAGCCTCGGTATCAATCGTCCCATCACTACTGCTATCTGTGATTTCATATTCCTGTCGTTAGTCGTTAATCTGGTGAGGAACCCTTGTTAAATATCATTTTTAATTGTATGCATATGTGGGCACGTGCACAGAATCTCAAAACCGCTGCATTTAGATTTGGTCATCAGTTGAGTGAGATGAATCTTTACCCCTCTTCCGGATGACTCACATAGAGCACTTTATTTGATGACGGGATTCAGCTGATTACAGCTTGTAAACTAAATGAGTAACGCAATTTGACATTATAGCGGCGGACGTTGTAGATTGCACCTTTTGAAATACAGTACCTGTTGACAGATTTATTATGATAGTGAAGTCATTAAAAACCACTGACTTATACTTAGTGTATGTATATGTGTATGGCATATCAGGGTCTAATGGGTATAGAATGTAGCTTTATGCGTCGTAAAGAATAATATTATGCGTGTTTTGCAGCTGGTTTGATATCTTTAGGTCAAAGTGATGATACGGTTTAAATTATTAGGTTAAAAAATATATTCAAACCATCAGCACGATTGCGAGTGTTGTATTATACTGATTTTATTCG